ATATATATATATATATATATATATATATATATATATATACCTAAGATCTCTCTAGAAAAATACCAAATGATAACGTTGGTTTTGGAGGAGAACTGGGTAGCTGGGGCAGGAGTAGGAAGGAGAATTTTTTATTGTATACCCTTAATACGTTTTCAATTTTGGTAATTGTAAATGGATATACAGTTGATACTTGAACAATGTCAGAGTTAGAGGTGCCAACACCTCAGCCCCACTGTGCAGTGAAAACTCTGTGTATAACTTTTTACTCCCCTGAAGCTTAACTACTAGTAGCCTGCTGTCGACGGGAAGCTTTGCTGATAACGTGAACAGTCTATTAACACATATTTTCTCTGTTTTATGTATTATATACTGAATTCTTAAAATAAGCTGGAGAAAAGGAGATGTTAGGCAAGTTGTAAGAAAGAAAAAAAGAAGAAAGTCACCAGAAAGAGAAAATACACTTACAGTACTGTGCATACATTCACTGAAAAAACCCAGAGTATAGGCTGGCTAGGCTAGAAGGGGATAGGGTGGTGGCAGGCTGGCCTCGGTATAGTGATATTCTGCAGCCTGGTGGCCTTGGTTTACAGGGGTAGCCACTGGCGGTGGTGGTTGGGTGGGGTGGGGGGCCTGTGGGTGGCCACAAGGGCCTGAGTGCACAATACATCTGCCCCAACCGCCTGGAGGTGTGTACCACGGGCCCGTGGCCACCAGCAGCTGCCTCCCCGAGCCCAGTGCACAGAGGACTCTGGCCAGGGCTCCTATGCAGTAACATCCTTGCCCTTTGGGCCTCTGCCTCAGCCCAGCCTCCTGCCTGCTAGCGGCCCCCTGCTCAACCTGACTACCTTGTAGGGACACAGGGCGACCAGCCACCCTGCCCAGTTCTGGGGCTCCCCGAGGCCACGGAGGGCCCCGGAGGCCTCCCCAGGAAGGGCAGCAGGTTCAATCTCTGCATCAGTGGCCTTCTCATGGGTCCCTTGAAGACCGGGGTGGGCATCTGTAAATAAATGCCACGTAGCTTTCGCTGTCAACTCAAAAAAAAAAAAAAAAAAAAGAATGCACGTGTAAGTGGGCCTGTGCAGTTCAAACCAGTGTTGTCCAAGGGTCAACTTTATCACCAACTCCATCAATTCATTAAATAGTGGAAAGTACTATGAAACCTGTTTCCCTTTTTAAATTACAACTAATGTTTTCAATTACAGCTAATCGTAATGTTGGAAAACGCTAAGATTTTCACAACGCTCCCCAAGTGTCTGCAAAGTGGGCTTGAGAAACACTGGTCCAGAGAAACACACCGAGTGAAGAGTCAGCTCCAGGCCTCAATAGTCAACAGCATCCTTCCTCTCAACTCAACTTCCCTGCGTCTCCACCAGAAGCCTCACAGCTTGCTGAATGACTAGGACGAGTGAGCATTCCTAAGAGTGGGGTTGCAAAGCCAGGGGCAGTCTAGCAAAGATCAGCAGCCCCTGATACGGCTCAAGAGCTTTTTCATTCATCTGGCCACTTATTTTATGCCTTTTGTCACGGGCTGAAGCGTGCCCCCTGAAACTCCTATGTTGAAGCTCCACCCACTCCCCAACGGCAGCTCAGAATGTGACTGTAGTTGGAGACAGGCCCTTAACGGGGTAATTAAGGTTAAATGAAGTCAGATGGGTGGGGCCCATCTTGAAATTTCTGGCTGTGGCCAAACTCTGCAACATTTGGGCCCTCTTCTGTTAAAACTGCAAACCATCATCACTCGAACCTCAACACACAATCTGTTTGCTATTTGTGAAAAGTTGATTGGACTTGTTGGAACTACTTTTAGACTATTAGAAAAAAATCTATGTTCTCTGGTAACAAACTTATGTGTATTCCCTTGACCAAAAAATTGGAATATTATATGAAAAAACTTGTCTGAAATTTTTAGGACCTCATGCTTGAAAAAAATTTTTTTCTCATGCTCGAAAATTCTTAATGGAACCCATTTAAGATCATTTCTAAACCCTCTCTTTAAAAAAAAACAAACGGCATTATTTGAGTTACAATGATAATGGAACTCAATTCAATTAATGTTGGGAAACCCTATGCAGCTAAAACTGAGCATACTTGTGGGGAAGTTTGGCAATACGTCCTTGTGAGAGTTTTCTAAAGCAACACAGTCATCTGTGAAATTGGAGCATTTAAACAAGAGGCCAACGACGTTGTGACTGGGGACCCTGTCGAGACAGACCCTAGGCTGAAGTGATGTATGACCGCTTGACTCACAAGGTCCAGACTTTCCTACACCGGCTTTATTTAAAACACAAATAAGTATTTCTCTTTCTTGTAATGGCAAATGGTTCAAATAATGCTGAACATGAATCACTGACTAATACAAGGACTTTAAATATGAAACAAAATTATTTTTAAAAAAGCAAAAGAATAAAGGTTATATACAAAAGGGACCTGGAATCTTTAAGCTGATTCCAAAAATGAAGTGAGTAGAAAATCTGTGGTGAAACCAGAACATTCCACCCCTGCTTTGGAGAAGGGCTATTATACAACATTCAGTCAGCTGAAGAAGGATTGGTAGAGAGGTGTCTATACATAAGTTTCAAGTCATTTTTGCTTGTGCAGAATCATCCAGATCTTCCCAAGACTGAATGGGCAGTCCTGTGGCTTTCTTCCTTTTCCATATTCCCAACAAGGCTACATGAAGTTCAACTCTCGATGAGCCGCTTACAACAGCAGTTCCTTAGGAGCCAACACGACAGGTGGGTCAGATTTCCCTATGAGAAACAAACTGGCCACCCACAGCAAAGTATCAAAATGGACAAGTCCTCCTTTCCTCTTCCTTCCGATTATGTACAACATGTCTCCTCTTAAGACTCTTCTCCCCATCACGCTTGTTCCTTCACACGTCTAAACCTTGAGGTGATACGAAGGAGACCGACATCAAGAAAAGAAAATTCAATTCCGAAATGAAGAGAACTGGAAGGTATACAATACACCCCCAGAGCATCTCAATAATCCCTGCTACAGTACGGTTCGGCACACTGCTACAGTTCGTAGATAAATATTGGCAGCTTGGAGGAGTTCCATTTTTTTCCCCCTGGCGGTTAACGAGTACCAAATAAATACTGGGCGAGACGAGTTTGCTGGGAGAGTTAGAAATAAAAAATTAACCAATTTTTATCCCTGTGATAATTCAATGCCAGTAGGAGGCAAGTACTGAAGAAGAGAAGGGACAACTTTCATGCTAAAAAAAGAATTCCTCTAATCATTCTGTCACCATCTCTCGTTAAGAATCCAGGGAATCCCAGAAATAGAAAATTAGTTTCAGAGGACCCCTGAGGCACTTTAAAGCCTTAAAAAATTACAGTAATAATAAATTAGCTATTGCTCTTTAGAGGCTTACAGAGCAGCAGAAGCATGAAAATCAGGTTGAAAAAGTTATGTCCAGATTACAAGCTTTCTGAGCTGCTCAGCCCTCTCTAAAGCTTAGTTGGATCTCCAAATACCTTTAAAAAGACATACAATTTAACACAGACTGAGTGGGTTTTTTGTTTAGTGGTAGTGTGAAATTTGGTCCTTAATGGCAGCAGCTGTCTTCATCCTTTTCAAACTCAGGTAACATTAAGTACATTAAGACAAGACATAAAAGAAATATACAGCAAAGGGGAAAAAAGCCCAAACTGACAAACACCTCAAGGAGTCACTAAGTTCTCTCGCACCCTTCGACTTGGATCTCCCTCTCAGTTTTTTTGTGGAGAGGTGTAAGACAAGACATTTTTCTTATAGATGCTAGACAATGGCATCGAATGGACAATGGTTATCAAGGGACTTTAAAAATCTGACCCCAAGGAATCCAGGACAGGTAATTCGGAGGTATACTTCTGATACGGGGCAAATTCTAGACTAAAGAAATGATCATCTTGGGTAAATGTTATAATAGATGAAACTAAGTCCAGTTTTTTGTTTTTTGTGTTTTTTTTTGTTTTAAGTGTTCTACCGCCTTCAGCTATCGATCATCTCTGACAGCTCAAGCAGAAGGTCATCTTCATCTTTCCCAGGATCCAAGTCAATCTCAGCTTCTAATTTGCCTCCTGAAATCTCCCATATTAGTTTCTCAAAATCATCCTCCACTGAAAGCGGGGGCTTTCCTGTTGAGGCAGAGCTGAGTCGGCGAGTTTTCGTAGCCACCTGGGATGAAGAAGGGCCAGATACTTCCGGTGGGGAGGGATCGGAAGAGGACTGGACCGGAGGCAGCGCAAGACTGTAAGAAAAAAACCCAAAAGATTATTAGAAAACTGCCTTGTCAGGGGTTGGCTGAATGGTCCCACCATTCAATGGTCCCACCCACTGAATGTCTCAGGAACACAAAGAGTTAGCAAAGAGCTGTTTCTGATAAAAAACGTAACACAGAACTGTTTTACTGATTTAGGACAAAGCATTTTCATCCTTTAAAGAAGCGGAATTCAAACAGATATTTAAAACATCAAAAAAAAAAAAAATAATACAGTCAATATATAAACAATGGCACCAAAGGAGAACAGCAACCCCGAGTATCATGTTTTCTTCCGATTAACTGGAAGCTTACATTTACTTAGACGTGGCCAAATCAGCAATGTTCAAATGTTTATTAAGCAGTGTTATTCTCCAGAGCATAAATAAGAGCGGCCTGAAGTCTGCTTAGGAAGAATCGCAAGTATTACCTGTCTCTGGGTTTTTCTGTCTCAGGCAGAGCGACTGACTTGTCCTCAGAGAGGAGTGGGACGACAGCCTACAAAAGGAAAAGTAAGGCGATTCAGTGGGAGGTAGGCTTTTTTTATTTGAACATACTCATGTTCTTTTGCCACTTTCTCAGAATCTTGGTTATTATTCTGGAAATCCAAGAATAAACAGTCCCAAGATTGAGTGCCGAAATAGGCAAAATATCTTGCTGCCCAAGAATTTGCTTTAAAAAAAAAATCCCACTCTGCCACCCCACAAAGGTGTGCTTGTAGATGGAGACTACGGTAACAACCTAAACTACCAAGATGCGGAGGCAACGGCAGAAGCGGCACAGAGGCAGGGAGCTGGCAGAGCTCCTCTCCCGGCCTTCCTCCCACACCGCTCACAGCAGCATCTAGCTGGATCTACGCTTACCACAGCTGCTCTCCTGGTGGGGCTTTCCTGTAGGACGCTGCTGGAGCCGAGTGGCCTCACAGCCGCGATGACAGCAGGGTGCACCTCCGCCGCCTTGCGTTTGGGGGCCAACTTGGGGGATGAGACCACTTTAACGACAGATGGCTTCACGTTGACTTTGGGTTTAGCTACAAGGGACAGAAAATATCTGATTAAGAGCTAGAATAATTCCTCTTTCACATGGAGAATAATTTAGAATATCGACCTTCCTTCACAATACTGGAAATAACACACACAGCCCAAAAATGAAAACAATCCATGAACGATCTGCACTATACATGTGGGCATAATGTAGATGTATACTCAAATAATCCCTTCCAGTGGCTCTTGAATTTGCTGTTCTTCCATTCCCTGGTGTTTTCCTTCTTCAAAACCAGAGGAAAGATGCACCACAGAAAGCTTTTTCCCCCAGGGAGATGTAACTGACATATTAACATTATATTAGCTTAAGTCATACAACATAATGATTCAATATACTGTGATCGGATGACGGCCATGGTTAAGTCTACTTAGTACATACACAGTTACAATTTTTTGTGTGTGAGAACTTTTAGGATCTACTCTCCTAGCAACTTTCAAATATGCAATACGGTTGTTGTGTTTTTTAAATTTTGTTTTCTAACGTTTATTCATTTTTTAAGAGAGAGAGTAAAAGTGGGGGAGGGGCGGAGAGAGACGGAGACACAGAACCTGAAGCGGGCTCCAGGCTGTCAGCAGGGAGCCCTTTGCGGGGTTCGAACCCATGAATCGTGAGATCATGACCTGAGCTGAAGTTGGACGCTTAGCCACCTGAGCCACCCAGGTGCCCCTGCAACACAGTAGTAGTTAACTATGGTACGTTACGTCCCATGACTTGTTTAAAAATATGCAATCCGGTGGGGCGCCTGGGTGGCGCAGTCGGTTAAGCGTCCGACTTCAGCCAGGTCACGATCTCGCGGTCCGGGAGTTCGAGCCCCGCGTCGGGCTCTGGGCTGATGGCTCGGAGCCTGGAGCCTATTTCC